TAGTAGTAGTAGTAGTAGTAGTAGTTTATATAGTAGTAGTAGCAGTAGTAGTAATTTACATAGTAGCAGTAGTAGTAGTAGTAGTAGAAGTAGTAGTAGTAGTTGTAGCAGCAGCTATGTTTTATGATATTATTATTTTTAATCTTCCTTCGTTTTCACGTTTTATCTAAGGTCTTTGAGAGGAGAAAACGGGGCCTTTTGGTGTTTAGTAGAAGTCTTGGGGAGTGATCCTAGTAGTGGTTTATTGAGTAATAATTAGTGGCCTCTTTATTCCATATATTATAGGATGTCTGCAAAAAGACCGTGCTACAGTGAGACACAGAAAGAGATAAGGGAAGTCACCTTGTTGTTCATTTTAGATCATAAACCAACCGTGAATTTACACACTCATATTCGTGCTGCCATAAGGCCTTGCATGTTATCAAAAGCCAAGACAACCAATTACAGGACTGAAGCCTTGTTACTATGAATGTCTTATCTCAAGTAAATGGGCACAGCTTCATAGCGCTTGTCAAAATCCTTCTATTTATAGAATGTTCCATTTTCTCCATGATATTTCAGTCGCCCCTGAGATCTACCTGCCTAACAAGAAAATGCGTCAGGAGAAAGGCAAGGATACCATCTTGGAGTGTACCGTGACAGCTTTTCCTCACGCAGTCACCTTGTGGCAGAAGGACGGGGTTCAAATCACAACATCAACTCTTAAATACAGGTGAATACACATATGAGGTAGATATATTCTTCTTGGTGGGAGATATTTTGTAGTTTCCTTCTTGTAGCACCTCGATGTAATTATTCCTCACTGACTATAACGTACGCCGTTATTTAGATCACTTTTAAAGGCACACTGCTTCGACCCTGCCTATTAAGCCCGACCAGGGTTCAGTGGAAAATAAGATACTAGTTGACAAATTTCCTCACATGGGAATCAAACTAATGGCTTCTCCGTTCAACAGAAAACAGTACACAGACACCGATTATATCACGCCTTAAATTACGGAAAAATATAAAAGGGAAAACAAAACTAACAGAATTTGAAAAAAAAAATACCCACGTCATCTACCCGCAAAATACAGTCGAATCCACTATGACAACCACCTGTCTAGGATAATAATAATAATAATAATAATAATAATAATAATAATAATAATAATAATAATAATAATGAAGATCATTTCTATAGCGCCCACTCCCGTGTAAACACGGCTCTAGGTGCTTTACATAAATGCATGTAAGAAAAATATTCATGCACGCGACACACACACACACACTCACACACACACACACACTCATATACACACAAACACACACACATATACATACACACACACACAAACACACGCATACACACTCACACATAACACGCACACATGTATGCCAAACACACACACACACACTCACACACACACACACACACACACACACACACACACACACACACACACACACACACACACATCTACTTGCTTATCACACGCACACGATTACACATCGTCACGAAATGAAAATAAAATAATATATACACTGCAATTCACAAAATACATAAATGGATACATAGACATTTACATAACATTGTATTGAACATGAATCTACTGACTTAAAAAGGATGTCATTAAATGTGTCTTTAAAGGTTTTTTAAACTTAGACTCAGATGTTGTATGTCTCAAGGGTTGGGGAAGAGAGTTCCAAACTGACGGAGCAAGGTGGGCGAACGATCTTTCGGCTAATTTTTTACCGCCTTTTCTAGGAACTCGTAAAAGATACTGGTCGCCTGATCTTAGTGATCTAGATGGAACATAAATCTGGATGAGATCACTAAGATATGAGGGAGCTTTGTTATTGACACATTTATGACATAATATTGCAATTTTATATGACATTGTAGCTGACACGGGAAGCCAATGCAACGTTTCTAACATGGGAGTAATGTGGATAATCATAATCACCGGTATCAATGATCACTTTGCACTCCTCCCCCACCTCTTGTATTTTTTTCCCTATATAATAAGCCACTGTCCAAGAGGACCACCTGGCAAAAGTGTCCACTTTTTTCCTCAACAATAGGTGGTCGTCTTTGAAAAGTTGGACTGAATACGCTTTAAAAAAAAAGAAGAAACCTCCGTAAATATATTGCATAATTTTTGTCCTCTCCAGGGTTGAAGTGTATGACGAGGATGCGAACCAGCTGACCCTAAGTCTTCGGGTCTTCAACATTGAAGAGTCTGACTTCGGCGCCTACACGTGTGTGTCTTCCAACACCCTGGGGGAAGACCAAGAGACGATGTATCTCTCAGGTAAGTACAGGTTTTAAATTGTAGGCCGACTGAGCTCGGTGTTGTTCTCTCTCATAAGGCTATATTGATATCGATATATTGTTTTAAAAGCAAAAACAAAACAAAAACACAAAAAATAAAATCCAAAAACAAAACAAACCCAAACCCTGGAAACCAAATGCCACCTCTCCCCCCCCCCCACCCCCCCACACCTTACCAATAAACAAATTAAATAAAGAACAAAAACTAAAAGTGGGTCACAGCATATGCCTTGATCTTTCTGACTTTTTCGGAACGAAGGTAATCTTCAGCTGCACAAAACGAATTTGTTCGCATCTAAAAGAGTGTGTTCACTTTTCCAGCCGATGAGAGCTTTTTCTAAGGAAGCAGCTTTGGCTCCAAGATGAGCGATTCTTTAGGAGTTTGCAAGATTTTCTTCTTAATTCTCATGTAGTGGACCTTCGTTTATAAATTGTAGTTTCCCGGATGACCCTGAATCCCAACTCACTTTTAACCAGCTCCTTTGAACGCACTTGAAAGAAGAAATCACTGTCAAAACCTTCATTTATCACGGCGACTATCAGTACTCCCAACACTATCACAATCGACACCACCACCTCTATAAACGCCTTCAGCAGAAATGCCAATATCAACAAACACCACAACCACACACATACCGATATTGCCAACACCACCACTTCTTTTACGACCACTACCAAAAAAGTGTCAAAACCTCATGTACCTATCATTAATATTAATTATAATCAGCTTCCACGTAACTCTCTTTCTTCTGACCACAAAGAGCACGTTCGGGCAACAGTAACCACCAAAAAGCCTAGCACGTCCACCCAGAACCTGTACATCCCCGCTACGTCACACCAGAAGCTGATCGTCTCTCGCAGACCGCCAGTGGCCCGACCCTCCGCCACCCTCGCCTCTGGCCAAAGTCTCGAGGGCTTGCCTATGGAGAACACCCACGACAGACAACCCACTCGGAGACCTGTGTACGAACCATCCTACAGGGGCAGGGACGATACCAGTAAGGCTTTGTTACTTGTATCAAAGGAATTTTAGGGAATTTGGAACACTATAATGTCACGTTCTCTTGCTTTATTTTATTGATTAAAACCCTGTCCTCTGAAAGCAATTGCAGAGAAAGTTCGAAAGTCAGAATAGCTCACCCTTTTAGTTTTTTAAAAGTTACTTAAATTGGAGTTGCATACATGGTTGTTTAATGTTACATGTTTAAAAAAAAAAGAATAACCTGCTTTTAAAAAAAAAGAGGAATCGATTTACCCCTTGCCTTTCCAATCCTGGTCTCGACATCAGAGACTGCTCCTCCCCTGCCATCTATAACACTCCCTAAATAAGTCAAAGAGGTCACTTCCGTTATGGGCACTTTATTGATCTTAGTGTCTTTTTTACACCTGTGTTGATTGTTAGAGCCTTTGTTGTTCCTGGGACCTCTTCATTGTGTTGTGCAGGGTGTGAACCTCAACCTGGGCTCAAAAGCTCAAAATAGACTTGCTCTTTATCCGTGTGTTTAGGATTATGTGTAGGTTTGCGGAGTATTGCTAGCTTTTCTGATAATGGATTATGTTATGGTTTTACTTTTTTTCCTCAGATAAAAGGATTTTAGCAACAAAGAAGAAGGAAAATGCATCAACTCGGCCCGGAAGTGTCTCCTTTACCTCCCAGACTCTCGCAAGCATCTTACTGGCCGTGTTGCTCTCAGTCATGTTATGACCTGCCACTTGGGACTATAGGCTGCACAGAAACCAACGAGGCCACAACGTTCTCAGAACATAATATACAAAGTCCCACAATACTGGCTTAGTTGTAGTGGACTTAAATGCTCACCAAGACAAAGCTGCATTTTTTAGTAGAAATGCGAGAATGGGAAGTAATGGTTTCCACATTATTATACGTTTGTAAACGTTTATGGGTAATATCTACGTGAGGCTGGGATCGAAAAAAACCCAAACAATCTGTGCTTGTTGACTTCTACTCTGCTTACAAAATGGTGTGCTTCGGTAATTTTAAATACTGCAAGAGGGCCTTTGTCAAAACTCGGTCGTTTGAATTAGAACAACACTGTCTGGCACACCAAGTAATCGTTGTATACTATGTTTTAGGCTCTATAGCAGATGTAAGGCATTCGTATCTGAACATGTGACCAGTAGAATGTTTTATTGCATAATTAGAAAATACATAATATTGAGTAATTGATAAATGGATGTATTCGCTTTTTTAAAGTTCTTTTTGGGGGATCCAAGTTTGTATTGGAATGCAAACTTGCTCGATACATTCTGTTGACAAGATTCGTTCCAGGCAGATCAGCATGGTAATCTGTGAAATCTGTCACAACCTTCATCTCATTCCAGATCTTAGAAATACTCTCCGAGATTTGAAAAAAAAACAACTTAAAAAAGCAAAACAAACCCAACAAACTACAAACCTGACCCATTAGGGTATAATGTATAAAATGCAGAATTAAAAAAAATCGTTAGTGAATTTCCTAAATCTACATACTCCCAAATAACGAGGTGAAAACAGATTTGTTGGTCAAAGTGGTTAGATCTATCTTAAAATCGTGAATGAGTTTTGAATATAGAACCCTGTTTTAAGAATGGGAAGTAGAAGGTATGACAATGTTTCAACACTAAAAAATCGTTAAAGTTATCAGAAGTGTAAAAAGTAATGCATTCTGGGTTTTGCTTCTACTGCTTAAATTGATTTTAAAAAGTGGCCCAGGAAGGAATTTGAATTTTGAGCAAAAACTGGGACAAGTTTAAGGTTTACACTCGTCAGCTGGTTCGGGCTCCTACGAATGAAAAGGTTCTGCGAAATGTTGGATTGTGTAAATATAAAGGTGAAAAATGCATGCTATGTACATGCACATACTTTTTCATCTCGGGTGTCGGGGCATTATCTGTGCGGGAGTGCTTCTCTTGGTGGAGGTTTTGGGCCTATAGACCTAAACTAACAAGTGGCACCCAACATACTCTAAGCTTTTACCTTTTCTCCCCATCTATATATATTCTGACTTACCAGAGACGTTAGAGCGAATCGATACGGAACAACAACAGTTACTTTTCGGCAGGAAACAGAGTAGCCCAACATTGACGCTTTAAAAGATGTGGGAGTTGATCACACCAGAGTACCTATCAGCTACCATCATTATGTTAAGCTCTTGTCTCTGAGGAAAAATATGGCGAGACTGAGATTCGAAAAGCTGTTTCAGCCGTCTCTTTTCTTGGGAAAGAGAGGG